TTTTTTCGAAAGATTGGTGTCAATCATGCACTCCAATATGATTCCGGAATTCAAAAATTCAAAAATCTTCCAAAATTCTCGCAAACTCCACACCACGCATCTGATTTTTTTACCAGGCTAATTTGAATTTTCAAGGTATTTAAAGAATTTTTTATTATTTACGGGAGCGGGGTTTTACTAAATTTACACCCCTGAATTTTATAGTTTGAAAAATCGAATCCTACCGCCAATCAAAATAAGGAATCTTCAACGCATTGTTTGTCGGAATCATACCAAACATAATTTCAGGCGGAATGTGTCGCTCAGTTGCGGTGGGAACTTCCCGCTACGTACAAGTTTCATAAAAAGAAAGCAGTAGATATCGACGTTGATTTGATACACTATAGAAGAGTATAAATATCTTTATCATACCTGTACAATTAGAGGAATGCCAGAAGCTGTAACAATTATGCATAATTTTTATTCAATCTTCTTCACCAGCGGGCAGGTTATCTCTTAGAATTTGGTCAAACTTGATCTTGATCTCTGTATTTGTGGGATTTTCAATGACACTTGAGTACACCTGAAAAATAAAATCCTTTGGAAAAGCAGAGTAAGAAAATTGGCTGTTTCACCTTAAAATGTAAAGCCTCAAGTCCTCCTCGGATAGCTCCGGCAATTATTTGGGAGTAGTTTAATGAGGATAATGAGGCAGGAACTTCGACAAGCTCCGTTAGCGGGTTATTCTCGATAATAAGAGAAAATTCACGGTCACCACCGCCCCAATTTGACACTGTTGCGGGTACACCTGAAATATGAAATGAATAAAAAGTTAATCAGTAACTATGTTTATAACTGTCCATGTGCAAGCTTAGTTCTGACTCAACTTTAGGTCTTTACAATACCAACGACAAATTCTGGGAAAATCTCACAGAACAAAAGCTGATTGCACATAATACTGCGATCTTCATAGCGCGCCCCCAGAGGTCTTTGCCAGTAAGGCTTTGGTCATACATTACCCGTGTCACCTGGGTTACTCATGTTACCCGTGTTACCAGTATTACTCGTGTTACCAGTGTTACTCTACCAGTGTACAAGTGTTCCCCTTGTTACCAGTGTTACGGCTTTCAGAGCTGTCGAGTGATATGATTGATGATATATTGGTGATCATTTCACTACTAACAGCTATAAGCGGTAACACCGGTAACGATTAACTTTAGTAACACGGGTAACATTGGTTACACGGGTAACACTGGTAACACGAGTAACACTGGTAACACCGGCAATGTATAGACAAAATCTAATGCTCACACATCGACACATTCTCAAAAATAAAAACAACTGGGATGGTAGTAAATGCATACAGAACATGTAGAAGAGCATGATCAAAAAAAAAAAACTACCTAAATAGGTGGGTATAGCATTCTTTGATAATACGTCTGCTATCTGCCGACAAT